GTCACAGGCCAGAGGCCACTCTCCGGCGCTTTCTAGTACAGCGCAAGGGGCGGCTACCGCCTGAGGACATTTCAGGAGTTGTTTACCGCGTAAACTCCCTAGACTGTCCAGTCAACTACTGTGGTATGACAGACAAACGCCGCAGATCGCGAATGCAGGAGCACGCTCTAGCCATAAGGCGAAAAGGTGTACGATCGCATCTCGCTATATACAGCCGCCAAAATAACCACAAATTCGACTTCGACAATGCACACGTGGTCGGCTGAGGCCAAAGCAAAATAGCGAGGGAGATAATCGAAGCCTGGCAATCCGATGCCGGTTCGATCAACAGAACGATCGGTCTGCCAGTGCCATATGATGCCGACAGGTACCTATTGGACAAGGAGCAGGATCAATGAAAACACAGAAAAATGGACCAATGAATTGTGAACCGAAAATGTTCTTAAATTATGTATTTACCATTTTTTTCCATCTTCGATGATATGCTCGAGTACGAGTGTGAAATGTCAGATGAGTAAACCCAGCGATCGCCTTACCTTCTCACCGTAATGGCCATTTCTGGCTTATTAACCGTCATCAGCCAGTCGTACCCAATCCCACGTGTGGATCACCTGGAAGCTTTAGTCGTTGAGTTCAACACTCTGCGATTGCGCCACGGGCTCGTTGCTTTGTCTATTGAGATCAAGAATATAATGAATATGTGGGACTCACCGATCTGGTAATGGAACAATGTATGTTCCGTTTTTGCCCCGGAACTCACTATAGAGCCTGTGCAGGCAGCCGTATAGCGACTTGTGGGCTAGGATGAAGAGGGACATCAGGATTGTCTGCTATATTCAAGGTATTACTTTTCGGTATTCCAGTCAGGTGTGGATATTTTTATTATTGGTTGGATCCTCTAATTAATAATTTTGGACTCTCTACCTAAAACAATTTGGCACCTACCGATGACGTACATCCATTTGTATGCCAATAGGATTGAACAAACACGAATTAATAAAAAGAGCTCTATGACTCTAAAACTGCTTTCTCTGAGTCAGGAATAACCCTTATCTATCAGATAAATGACCGTCCGTAACGTAATATTTTTTCTGAGACACGGTTAGCATATTATTCAAAAAACAAAATAAGTAAGGTTCGTATTCCAATAGAGCCATGGAACGGATGTGCCCTCATGCAAAAGAATTGAAACTGTAAAAAGTCTAAAAAAATGCTTCATTAATTTTCCCTACTTGCAGCTCTATTATGCAGCAAATGGCGAGGTTGTTGGTAGCGGTCTTCTGAAAGACAGTAATTGCCAGTACACTCATTTTGAATATATACATTAACTAATTCTAACTGACGTCAAGACGTTTCGAATTTCAATTGTAACGCAAAACTTATTACCATTTTCAGAGCAAGAGTCCCTAAATCTAAATCTAGTACGTGTGCGCTTTATTTGGTCAAAAGAGCAGGTGAAATTAAATATATAAGCGAATATACAATGTATGCAAATCCTAAAAAAATGTGTGAAGGCGCGTCTGTGTTTTTTCCGTGGATTAGTAGGTGTGTGTATGATTGTGATTTCTATTAAGTAGCATTATCCTGATTGTAAATATTACTGGTTTTGACGCTTTCGGACGCACGACTTCCTGACTAGAGGTTGCCGCATGACTCTCTGGTAATGGATATGTTAGAAAGAGCCAATAGAGCTTCCCGTGTACTTGTATGTAATAGTTTTGGGTCGCTAACTGCTCCTTCTAGTCCAACCGCCTGTTATCTCTTAGAACAGACCCACAAAGCAAAGACATTATTATATTATATTTGGCTTGGTTTCATTATTTAGTGCTTCTCAGCACTAAGTTACTATCGTTAGCTTAACTCGTCAATGTTGGAGCTGGAAGGAAAATGAAACATCGGAACATTGTCCATCGCTGCGAATTTGCCGATTTTTCTGTTACAACACGTTCCTTTTTCATCCATTACCCTCGGATCATTTACCGGTAGAAAAACGTAGTTTCCGAGTGCCAAGCTTTTTTTTTTATTGAAAACGCAACTTGCTAAACTACTCCATAATTTTA